TAAAATAGTCCAGTATGAAAGCCAAGATGTAACCGAAGAGTAATCAAACCTGTCAGTATTCCAGTAATCATTCAAAGCCATCACTGCTTGCGTTCTGGTAGCGCAATTAATGATTTGTACATCTCGTTCCACCGGAACAACGTAGGAATGCCCGTCGAGGGGAGTTGCTATAAAAACGAACTCTGTTGTAAACAAATCACACTTTCCGTAAGACAACGATCACAAAAAATGACTCAATATGTCTTCGCAAAATCAGTGATCTCTCTGTACTACAAACCATAAAAGGCAATTCCAGTTGAAAGGCTGGTCGGCTTCCTACAGCCTATCCATTACAAGGACCCTTCTGGTCAATTTAATATTTTATCGATCAAAAAAATGGGAATTTTCTACTCCTGGCGAAAATTGATAATCCCTATGGATCTACAGATTGCTTGAACACGATCCTCGAAGGACCAAATAAACTAAGCGTTTCCCTCTCCTCCAAAGGCGAGCAGAGATGCTTGTTGTCTACTGCTTCAAGACCTTTGCCCCAACCTTCTACATGGTCACTTCTTTCATAGCACTGCAGTCTTCCCGAACAGGCCTATCTTAGGGTTCACCATACGTTCTGCCGCCTCCACATTTCGCAGATGGGATGTGCCTCGCTGTGCATTTCATTTGAACGGGCGACGGCTGCGCTTTTGGTGAGATATTACCTTTTGAAACACTGTTAACATATATTTGTTCAGCGCAGGGTAGGATGACCATTGTCTCACATAGAAAGATCCCATACAAAACGCATCCTACCAAGCACGTAGCCACACCGTCCCATCTCCAGGATATGTCCCAATCACGGCCCTTTACCCATTTGCGCGTTCGCTTTTCGTGGCAGGATCATTTAAAAAGCTCAAGCGGTTACAGCGCAAGCAGTAATAGAGGGGCAGGTGAACAAGATTTAGTGAATATTTACGACTTCACAGCTTACCTAGGACAGAGACTCGCTCAAGACGAGGATTTCTTTCCAGTAGAAGTGTGACGATGTCGGCAGCCCTATCCACTCCCATATTTGCTAGTGAATTTCCAGCAAGGTCTATTGACCTCAAATAAGGCCAGCAAGCAAATTTATCGTCGCGCATTACTTGTACCATAGCAAGTGGTAGATCCACGCAAGCCTCCTGCGAGCTGCAAACAGAGACTTTGAAGCAAAGACTGAAAAGCTAAAATGGATATGG